TGGGAGGGGTGAAGTGATTGTGGTGTGGGTTTGTGACGTCCTCCGCGGAGTCAAGGAAAGCAAGATCGGTGGGTGAGACCGGATGAGAGTAGGGGTAGGAGTGTTCATCAAAGGTTACATGACGAGATATGATAATTTTATGAGTGAGGAGATCAAGGCATCGGAATCCCCGTTGGTTGGATGGGTACCCTAGGAAGACACATCGGGCCGAACGTGGGGTGAGTTTGTTGGGGGTTGTGGTGGAAAGATTGGGTAGCATAGACACCCGAAGACACAGAGGTGGGAGTATGTGGGTTTGTGACCATAGAGAGCTTCATGGGGGATGCGATTTTGAAGGGTGGTGGTGGGCAAGATGTTGAAGAGATGAGAGACCATATGTAAGGCTTCAACCCAGAAAGTGGGTGGGAGTTGGGCTTGGAATAAGAGAGAGCGAACGGTGTTATTTATTTCATTATTTCCTTTAACAATTACATATTTACAATTTTACACTTTTAAAAATTTTAAAAAAAGCAAAAAAAAAGGTGGTGGCTGAAACCGGTCGGTCCATTACCGGAACCGCCGGTCCGGGTACTGGCACCGGTACCGTTCGGTTCGGTCACGGTACTGGTAACAAGGAGTGGCGGTCCCGGAATCGGAACCGTACAGTGTCTACCCCTAGATGCAACACACCACAGCCGACAACTTTTACTAGTCTACTCCTCCGCCGCCGTGTGGAGGTGGCCTACACTCCAAAATTGAAAAAATAAATGGCAGGGAAAAGTGAATAATTTACGGAGTGAAAACTCATGAACTCAATGGATAAAACAAATCAACAAAATAAGAAAACATTTTAATCATCTAGAAGTAGAGGATGAAAAGATGGAAAAGTCGCCGTTGATTAGTATAGTCAAGTCATCCTAGGCCGCCTGTCAATAATACTCCCTCCCTCCGGGCCTGTCGATCTCCCGCTATAAATCTCGCCACCCCTTCAATATCCCGCTCCTCAATTCTTTTGTTATTTCAATCATTCATTCTCACACACACAAACACATCGAAGTTAAGGGAAAAGGAAAGGTTGGATCAGAGAATTTCTTTAACACACACAAACGCATCGAAGTTAAGGGGAAAAGAAAGGTTGGATCAGAGAATTTCTTTATCAAGTGTGTGGGGGATCGGAATTGAAATATATATGGAGCCGTCTGATCTGGGAATATTACGAGGCGGGAGTATAAGGGGCAGCCTAAGGGGGAGCTTGCGATCAAACACAAATTCAATTTGGAGGAACACGGGCGTCGAAGTGTTCTCAAAATCATCACGAGATGAGGACGACGAAGAGGCGCTGAAGTGGGCTGCGCTCGAGAAGCTCCCTACTTTCGACAGGCTCAGGCGTGGCCTGCTCTTTGGGCAGGACGGTCCTGTAGCCGAACTCGTAGACATCGACAACCTCGGCTACCACGAAAGGCAGGCCTTGCTTGATAGGCTCGTAAAGGTTGCCGATGAGGACAATGAGAAGTTTCTTGTCAAGCTCAAGAATAGAATTGATAGGTACTCCGTAATAAATAATGAACTATATATTCCGATAGATCCTCTGCGGCCTTTGAATATATTCACACATGTTCTCCCTATTTCATTTGAAATTCTAACTACCTTCTTAATTATGTAACCTTTTGGATGATATAATTCTTAATCACAGAGTTGGAATTGATATGCCAACTATAGAAGTGAGGTTTGAAAATCTTAATATAGAGGCTGATGCGTATGTGGGCAGCAGAGCTTTGCCTAGCTTCATTAACTTCACTACCAATTTCATCGAGGTAATAAAATTCTCTCTCAGTCCATTCAATTACTCCATATTTTATAGTCTCAAATCTCAATAACATTTTGATCATTTTTTAGGTGAATTTATCAAAAAAGGATTAAAATATACTCCCTCCGTCCCAAAATATAAGCAACATTACGTTAAACGAAGTAATTTTTTCAATTTTTTCAATTTTTTCAATCCATTTTATTTAAAGAATGGTCTACAAATGAAAAATAAAACTTACATATTTAAAACTACGCCAAAAGTTCTACAAAACAATTGGTGACAAGAATATTTTATTCTATCAAATAATCAATGAAAATGCAAAAATAAATAAAAGTTCCCGGGATTTTTAAATAGTGGAGTGTTGCTTATATTTTGGGACGGAGGGAGTAATGACTTTCTCAATATAAGACAGTACGTTTTTATTTCTTAATGTAGGACCATTGGTAAATGTTAGTAAATGTTCAACATCAGTGAGCATTATCATCATATTCCTCCTACTAGACATTATTAAGTTCTATTTAGGCCATAAAGAAGTTTAAGTCCTACATTAGAAAATGATTTATGTTTTAGTTCTATTTAGTACAAATTTTTCTTTTTTAATACTCTTTATTTATTACGAAGTATAAAATATAATATTTCAAATTGATATAATAATACTAAATCTATATCATAACTTTATGGAATGGTTTTTTTATTTTATAGTAAAAAAGTATACAATTTAACCATTAAAATACTTAGAACAGAAAATAAATATAGAATATACTCTGGAAAATTTACTTATATAGTACTAAAATATAGCGAATTTTCCAATGTAGTATTATATGTTTTAATTTTCCAATGCAATACCAATGTTTAATGTCTACTAGATATTGTTCAAGTAAATGTTCATCGCCACTGGACATTATTATTCAAATAAATATTTACCACCATTGACATTGTTCAAGTACTATTTAGAGAATAAATTTTTAGATTTTACATTTTGAAAAGACATACTCCACCGGTTCTAAAAAAAATTTCTGTTTTGACTTTTTTGTCAAACAATATTACTCTTCTTTGACCGTAAATCAAGCATAATCCAAATAAATAAATGAATGATATAAAAATTTGATATACATACATACATACAAACACACACACACACACACACATATATATATATATATATTCTAAAATGAACCCAATTATATTGAATTTATATTAAAATTAAATTTTTTTTCTCACAATTTATGGTCAAAATATGTATATGTTTGACAAAACAGTCAAAACCAGAAAAGTTTTTAGGAGTAGGAGTATGTTTTATTACTATTTAGTGTAAATTTCATAGATACTCGTTCTATTTTATATAGTTTGTCAACATTAATGTAATTTATGCAAAACTTGCATGACTTTTAAAGGGCGAGAAGAGAGTATGTAGCAGCATATACTTCTTAATACAACACCACCATGATTCTTTTGACCAAATTAAAAACGGAGTAGTTATATGTAGTATTCACTTCGGTTCTTGTTTTGACTTTGGGGCAAAATAAGGAAAGTGTAATAATTTTAGTTGATTTTTCAATTTTGCCCTGATGTGATGAGTAAAAGTAAGATGTGATAGTTTAGTTATTAGTGAAAAAGTATGATGTGATAGGTAGGGTATGAAAAAGTAGGAGTAAAAGTGGTTTTTTAATAGAAAAAGGAAGTATTTTAAAGTATTTTAAGAAACAGAGGGTTAATAGAAAAAGAAAGTGTTTTAGGAAGTGTTTTTCTTTTTTTAATAGAAAAAGAAAAACAAAAAAAATGAAAGAGGAAGGGTTTTAAGAAACGGAGGGAGTACAATTTTCTTTTTCTTACTGACTTACTTTGGTTAAAAGGATGTGATCAACGCCCTTCACATTACCAAAAGCAAGAAGAGGCGATTCACTATCCTAAACGACGTCAGTGGGATCGTTAAGCCCTCCAGGTATGTTAGCTAATTACCTGGCCGCTGCTTATTACTCCGTAAGTAATAAGAAGTTTGAATAATTGAAACAAGCATTTTTGCATGCAGAATGACGTTGCTCTTGGGGCCCCCGGGTTCAGGGAAGACCACACTTTTGTTGGCCATGGCTGGAAAACTCGATAAAGACCTACGGGTTAGTGGAAACGTGACATATAACGGTCACATGCTAAACGAGTTTGTACCACAGAGAACAGCTTCTTACATTAGCCAACATGACCTGCATATTGGGGAGATGACCGTTAGAGAAACGTTGGAATTCTCCGCCAGATGCCAGGGGGTCGGTTCTCGTTACGGTTAGTGCACTCTTTTTATGAGATATTTAATTAAATAGTATGAAAATATAATGACTTTTCCTAAATAGCATCATATGTTTTTATTGTCCAATGTAGTACTTTTAGTCATTATATATTAGTCATTATTTAAGTAAATATTTATCATTACTAGACATTATTCCTCTTTCCAGATATTATTATGTGTTATTTAGAAGATAAAAAAAATTTAAGTTCTAGAAAAATTACTTATGTTTTAGTCCTATTTAATACAAATTTGAGAAATTTACATAAATAACAATAGGACATAATAAATTTCTCTAAATATAATATCATATCTTCATCTTCATTTATAATTTTAATGTATCAGTTCCTTTCTCAAATTAATTGCCTTGCTAAATTACTACTCGTATATGAATCGCATCACATTTTTGCTAAATTATTACTCGTATATGAATCGCATCACCTTTTTATATCATTTCTTCAACAACGTTTTCAGAAATGTTAGCCGAGCTGTCCAGGAGAGAAAAGGCTGCCAACATCAAGCCCGACCCGGATCTGGATGTCTTCATGAAGGCAAGAAATTTTACTATCCTTAAATAAATTTCATTTTACCCAATAACCTCTCTCTGCCTTAAGAATTTCATTGTTTTTTCTCTTTTTCTTCTCTCACAAAGTCTTTTCTCTTCTTATTCAAAATAATTTTTACCATTATTAATTCTTAATTTATCTGTCAAAGCATATCTTTTTATTAATAATCTATTAATCACTTTACTTTTAATTATTATATCAAAAATATTTTTTGAAAATTTAACACCATAATATCATTCCCTTAAATTTTCTAAAAGTCAAAATAAGAATGTTTTTATGAGACGGAGAAAATATGTACTCCCTCCGATTTCTCATTGCGCGTTACGAGGTTTGGCTGACTTTATTTTCAATTCAATTTTTTTAATTGTAATAAAATTTAAAAATAAAATTTATATAGTAAAAAAGTACATAAAAAATTCTTAAAACTAGAAGTGACAACACTATTTTATTTTATGAAATGAGTAGTAAATGTAAGGAAACAAAGTAAGTAAAGTTTGACCCTGTAAATAGTAATAGTATATGGGAAGATCTATGATGGAGAAAGGGAGTACTTCATTTATTCTTGATCAAGCGCTTTGCATTTCAATTTATATGATTATTGGTTTAATAAAATACGTATTTTGAGATTACTACATAAACAATTATTCAAATAACATGTGGCATTGTTATGTTACTCCTTATATAAAAATTACTACTTCATCCGTCCCTAAATATTTGCTACATTTGTATTTCCGAGGCAAAATATCAAGTTTTTTCAATTCATTTTATTTACATATTGGTATAGAAATAAAAAATAAAATTTATATAACAAAAAACTACATGAAAAATTTTTCGAAATAAGAGAAGTCAAGAATGTTTTATTTTATTAAATAACCAATGAAAACGTAAAAATAAACAAAAGTTTACGTGTCTTCTGAAAAAACAAAAAGTTGCAAATAATTTGGGACGGAGGGAGTATATAAGGAGTAAGATATGACCATCCCATTGAGCTACTTGCTTACTTTTTTATGTTTTTTTTAAATTAATTGTAAACTTCTCATATTCAATAAACAAAATATGAATAATAGTTTAAATTGATCATGGGATAAATTTAGCATTGATTTTGTGATAAATTTAGCATTGTTGATATGAATGATCGGCAAACTCATTTTACAAATTTATTCGAGAATTTAAACTAAATTTTAAAATTAATTTTTTAATTTGAGTGACTTAATAAACCTGGACGGAGAGAGTAATATTTGTGTAGTCAGTGTGAAACTTGGAGTCATTAAACGACCTTAGCCGAGATGAAAAAAAAGGCCTCGGTCGAGAATCTGAGATAGAAAAAAAGACTCTAAAAATGCTATCTCTAATGGTCTAATAATTTAAAGTATGCAAACTAATTATATTTAAATGACAACAAGAGGTTTCATAAACTTATATAAAGGTTCGACTTAGGACTTTCTCATTTCTTCACCTTGTTTCCCGTTTTATGTTTTTGTCTACCAGATAGATGTTTAGGACTTATAGCTACTGAATTATTTCTGAAATCAAATCCAAATTCAGATATTATAATACTTAGAAAAATCATATACAAACCTTAAATTTCCAAAAAAAAAGAAATTCTAAATATCATAGCAATTCATTCAATCCATTAATATCAATTGGTCGAAACAATTTCAAAAATCTTCGATCTCTTTCATTTTCTAAAATCTTCAATCTCTTTGGGAGCCCACACTTTATAAATACTCTCTCCGTCTTAAAATATTCTTTCTATTTATGTTTACGAGATTTTACTAATTTTATTTTTAATTTAATTTATTTGTTTGTAGATGTAAAATTTGAAAATAAAATTTATATATAAAAAACTACATCAAAAGTTTTAAAAAATAAGAGGTGATAAGAGTATATATTATTTTTTCAAATAACTAACGAAAATAGATAAAAAATGATTAAAATTCCACCGTGTAAATAGTAAATGTAAATAACCTTTTAATACAAAGGAACTACTCCCTCCGTTCCTTAAAACCCTTCCGCCCTAAATTTTTGCGCACCTAATTAAACGTTTTTACTTCCACCAAAAATATCTAAAATATACCCCACTATGTAGTTTATTGCAGGTAGAAGTTGTTTTAGGAGTATTTTAGACATTTTAGGTGAGATAGAAGTATTTTATGGGCTGCGTAAAAAATTAAAACGGAAGTTTTTTGTAGAACGGACGGAGTATTAAATACCCTTATGGCCCTATGTAATATACTATACCATATACTGTATGAAAAATAAAGGGAAGGTATATACATTTATTAAACTCCAAAGCTAACGACAAAATATATGCGGAGTAGCAGAGAGAGAAAATAATGGCACCTACACAGTCAGTGTATATGGTCCCCTATTGGTATTTTGCGCTATTGACTTGTACTACCTCCATCCTAGAGTATTTGTCCACTTTCATTTTTACACACAGTTCAATACACTTCTTTATTCCATTTTATCTTGTAATTTGTATATTAAAAAATTATAGAAATTATATATTAATAATCTATATGTTAAGACAAATCAAACAAGATCACACATGACTATATTTAGGCTTACATATTGAGAGAATTTATGAGTCAAAGTGCTTAGATGAACAGTTCCAAAAGTCAAAACAGGACGAATACTCTGGGACGAAGGGAGTATTAAAAAAAGTGGTCCCCTTAAGAAGATAAGCCCGGTCCGGACGGGCTACTTGTCCCTCTTTTGAGCCGGAGTACTAACCAGAGCATTGACAAGACAAAAATGAAATGTCACACAGTGACATAAATTATTTAACCAATAAATAGTAACCAAGTCACCGTGTGGCAAATGAGTGGAGTGTCGTAACATATACTGGTAAGTCGTTGTTTTTTACTATGTTTGCACTTTTTAATGATTTTTAATTATAAAAAATTATTTTAAAAATCTATTTTATTATTAAAATATGTTTAGTTCTTTTAAAAAATATTCTTTTCAAAAATTACAAATATTAAAAATATTAAAAAAATAAAAAATGAGAGAGTCATGTCTTGCACATATGGTCATAGAATGCCATGATTTGTGTGGAATTTGGTGACATGGCAAGGCAAGGCATTGACTTGCCATTGTGAATGCTCTTAGCTCCGTCCCACACAGGCACACACTATTTTTGTCTCTTTATAGTTTGTCTATCTTACTATTTTTTGTCAAATACTGCATATAATCATATCATAGACTCATAGTGTGTCACATTTGTCCTAATAACATAAATTTTCATTTTTTTTACTTTTTAACATCGATATGAACTATATAATCTTACACTTCCTTCGTTATTAAAAGATGTTTTTGTTAGATTAACGTGCAAAACCCCCATAACTTTTAAAATGATTTTATTTACAAATTGGTACTCCCTCTGTCCCAATTTAAATCGTCTGTTTTGACTTTTGGGCATATTTAAGGAAAATAAAAAATAGAGTTGATTTTTTGAAATTGACATTACTTTTTAAGAAGGGTAATGATGAATGAGAAGATAAGATGAAAAAGAGTGACTTATTTTAAGGGTAGTTTAGGTATTTTATTTTTAAACGTTTACGAAAACAACTAACAAGCAATTTATTTTGGGACGGAGAAAAAAGGCAAACAGGCAATTTAAAATGGGACGGAGGGAGTAAAAAATAAAAAAAATAAAACTTTATATTTAAAAACTATATAAAAAACTCTACAAAACAAGAGGCGACAATAGTATTTATTTTATCAAATGATCAATGAAAACATTTAAATAAATAAAAGTTATTGAGCGACCGTAATAGTAAACACATAACTCTTTTAGGGACGGATCGGAAGGAGTACTACTTAGGTTTCATAAAACTTTTTCATTAGGAAAATGTGAGATTTAAAAAGTGAGTAATTTTGCAATTACTTCTCAATTTTATCTTTACTTATCGTAGGGTAGGATATGATGTGATGAGTAAATTAATACTCCTTTCATCCCACAAAAAAGTTCTCATTTTGACCATAAATTGGTCAAATTGTTGCACATTTTGACCTTAAATTAAATATAATCTAAATAAAAAAATGCTAAAAAAATTTGAGATATCAAAACTAGATCCTAAGATGAATCCAATTATATAAAATTTATTTCATAATTCAATATACCTTTCTCACAATTTGAAGTCAAATCGTTTAAATATTTAACTAAATACTATTCAAAATGGGAATTTTTTTGTGGGATCGAGAGAGTAGTAAATTAATTTAATGTGATTGTGTAATGCAGGAAATTTTATGAATTTAAAAATTATAATTTGTTTTGGGACGAATAAAATATGAGATTATTATTTTTAGATGGAGTGAATAATTATCAATTCGGTGTAGACTCTCATGTTGCATAAATAGGACCGAACTCCACCGAAGGATACTACCTAGGAGAGATATATTTAGATGTCCTCAAAATCTACATTTAAAATAAAATCTACATTTAAAATGTAAATTTTCTCATATTTTTCAGATTTATATCAGATATTTTTTTTCTTTTTTAGAAAAAACACATTTTTATATAATACAAATATACTAAGATTCATATAATTACATGAATCTTAGATCTCCCAAAGAATTTGGGTACCTAACAAACGGTAAATGGGACTTTTTCTTTGGTTTGAAAAGTCAAAAAAGATTGACGGATAGGATAAATACAATGCATAATCTTTTGAGTAAAATACAGCGGAATTGTGATGATTTTTTATCACGAATTAAATATAGTCTAAAATAATTTAATATTTTTAAAATTTATTTTAGTGACAATTTTTTACCACAAAATTTGATATTTTAAAATATATTTTAAAATAAATCCAATTTTACTCAATTTATATTATAACTAAATATATTTTTTCAACAGTTCACGGTCAAAGAATGTCAAAAGTCAAACAGTTGCAATCTTTTAGCGATGGAGGGAGCAATTATTACTATTGTATCTGTTTTTTTTGTTGCAGATCCAAGAATTCGGGTAGATGGGGGCATAATTGGCCGAGGATCTCGGGGCAGCGCCCCGATATTTTTTAAATAGAGAATATGGAATAACAAAAAATTATTTTTAATTCTATTTTAAACATTTATTGAATGTAAAATATTGTTTAATATGTAATATAAAATCTTATTATAAACAATAAATTATTTTAAATAAAATACACTTCAATAAAATTAAACAAAAAAAAATAAAAACTAGCTTAATTACATGAGATTCTATTAATTTTTGTTGGGAGTACATAATTTCACATGGAGTCAACCCAATTTAGATGAGGGCATGCAGTCCAAAGTATAGATTTTTTTTTTTCAAAACAAAAAGAAAATGATTTAATACCGAAATTTAGTAGGGGGCATTGGCCCTCATTTACTTCTAAGTAGATCCGCTCCTGATTGACTGTATAATTGAATGGAAAGAATGTTACTATGTTTCTCTATTGGACCATGCTACACTTACACCAAAAAATATACCCAATTTGTACACCACAGGTTTGCACAAACATTTCGATGGTTTACACCGACACAAGTGTTGGTGCGTTAATAAAAATTCACACGGACACAAATGTTGGTGCATTTAACAAAAATTAGTTTTACACCAACACAAAGTGTTGGTGCAAAACTGCGGGGTACAAATTGGGGTACAACCCTTGGGGTACACATAGCATAATCCTTCTCTATTACTTAAGCAAGGCAAGAAGAAAATGAGTTGAATATGAAAAGTGTCCAAAAGTAAACCTTTCTACTGGTAATTTATTTCCTCCATAGCTAATCAGGGAGTAATCTTAAAGTGCCAACTCTCGTTTCTTTTCGTACGATTTTTTTTTGAAATGGACAACTCAATGTTTTTACATACACCATATTACTAGAGGGTCTTAATAGAGCAATTTTTTCGTCTTAATATTGCTAGCTATATGTAACAGCATTAATGTTTTTCATGTCACTTCAGGCAGCATCGACAGAGGGACAAGAAGCTCATGTTGTCACTGATTACATTCTCAAGGTAACAATCCAGCCATTAGGAATTAAATGACGATATAAAAAGCATAACAATTTTTTATTTTGTTTTAACAAGATGATAATCAGATGGTGGAGGAATATATAGGGGGGCCGAGGGAGGATAATTAATTAATACATCTATGTGACATGCATGCAAATCCCTATTGAACCATTGAAGTTGTTTCTTCATATATATGTGCTTTCATGGCTTGCTTCCAGATCCTGGGACTGGACATATGTGCGGATACTATGGTGGGAGATGAAATGCTAAGAGGTATATCTGGTGGACAGAAAAAGCGTGTCACCACGGGTGAAATGATCGTCGGCCCCGCAAAGGCCCTTTTCATGGACGAAATTTCCACGGGCCTCGACAGCTCTACTACATATTCCATTGTGAACTCACTCAGGCAATACGTCCACATTCTCAAGGGAACCACCGTCATTTCGCTGCTCCAACCGGCCCCGGAGACTTATAACTTGTTCGATGATATCATCCTGTTGTCAGATGGATACATTGTTTACAGCGGCCCTCGCGAAACTGTGGTTGATTTCTTTGAATCCATGGGGTTCAAGTGCCCGGATAGGAAAGGCGTTGCAGATTTTTTGCAAGAGGTGTGTACATATACTTAATTAGGATGGGATTATTATTATTATTACAGAGTATATTTCTGGCTCATGAGATCGAATCGCTCAAGACAACTTAATTAATTATTGTGCCTGGCCTCTAGTTTTAAGTTAATCATGCAGCTGTTTTCCTATGAACCAGCGTTGTCAATGCTAATATTGCTAAAAAATTTAATTTGGCTAGCTATTTCTTTGTTAACTAACTAGTGATAAAATGAGCTGATAATGTAATGTGTGTTCAATTAACGTAACTATATAGGTGACTTCAAAGAAGGATCAACGTCAATATTGGGCACGCAAAGATGAAACATACAGATTTGTTACGTCAAGGGAGTTTTCTGAAGCATACAAATCCTTCCATGTTGGGAAGAAAGTGGCAGAGGAGTTGTCACTCCCATTTGACAAGAGCAAAAGCCACCCCGCTGCCTTGACGACTCAAAGCTATGGCATTGGAAAGAGACAACTGTTGAAAGTCTGCACAAAAAGGGAGTATTTGCTCATGAAGAGGAACTCATTCGCTTACACATTCAAATTCTTCCAAGTATGGACATTATTATTTTTAACTCCTTTACTGTCCCACAGTTGCACTCACATGCATATCTCTAGCTAAAATATACTCCGTATATAACTCATCTCTCTTTTACTTCAACCCTGCAGCTTTTGGTGATGGCTTTGATTACAATGACCTTGTTTTTCCGGACTAAGATGCGCAAAGAGAACGAGACTGATGGAGGAATATACAGTGGGGCCTTGTTTTTCGGTGTTATCATGATTATGTTTAATGGGATGTCTGAGGTTCCTATGACGATATATAAGCTGCCTGTGTTCTACAAGCAGAGGGACCTCCTTTTTTTCCCTCCATGGGCATATGCTCTCCCTTCGTGGATTCTTAAAGTTCCCATTACCTTGGTTGAAGTCAGTCTCTGGGTGTTTATCACTTACTATGTCATAGGATTTGATCCAAACGTTGGCAGGTAAAAAAAAAGAAAGTAAAGGAGTGATCATATAATATGTGTGTGGTCTCACTAATATTTTTGATTAGATAAATTGTTTATTTTTATTTTACATAATTGCAGGTTATTCAAACAGTTCTTGCTACTTGTGATGGTAAACCAGATGGCTTCTGGATTGTTCCGATTTGTTTCATCAGTTGCTAGAACCATGGGAGTTGCAATGACATTCGGAACCTTTTCAGTGCTACTCCAAGTTGCACTAGGAGGCTTTATCCTTGCACGAAGTAGGTGCACAAGCGTTTTGGTCCTAGCTTGCAAGATGAAAGTGATTCTTAAATTAGTCTAAATAATGCACTAATACCTACTGCATGTTTTCTTATATTTCAATTTTGCAGATGATGTGAAAAAGTGGTGGATTTGGATGTACTGGTCTTCCCCTTTAATGTATTCTCAGAATGCAATTCTTGTGAACGAATTTAAGGGGCATAGCTGGAGAAAAGTAAGACTCCGCCGCGCCTAGACACATTTTTATACAGCCTAACTTTTTTTTCCCACATCAAACAAAGTAACAATCCGTTTTTACAGCAGAACGCAACGTCTAGCAGCAGAATACTTGGAGATGTTGTCGTGGAATCAAGAGGGTATTTTGCAGAAGCAAAATGGTATTGGATTGGACTTGGAGCACTCATTGGATATACAATCATTTTCAACATATGTTACATGTTGGGCCTCCAGTATCTTAACCGTATGTACCCAATTCAATTTCAAAAGGTTATTATGCTTAAAATTAAAGAATAACGCTTCCGTTTACACGAACTGTGAATACACTCTAATATTTGCAGCATATGGAAAACCCCAAGCCAATGTAGTTGATGACGATGAAACTGTAGAGTCAAGTGGTCAACAACCGTATATCATTCCTGAGCAAAACGCTGGTGGAGGAAGTTCCATCGTTGAGACTAAAAAAAGAGGAATGGTCCTTCCATTCGAGCCATATTCATTGACGTTTAACAATGTGGTTTACTCTGTTGACATGCCACAGGTATTAAAAATTTCAACCGAAATATACAATTTACACTATGTTTGGTTCAAGAAAAATTTGGAAGTAAAAGAAAAGAAAATGATTTTCTCTCATTTTTCTCATGAAAATGGGAAAATTTGTGTTTTCTTTCGTTACATTTTGCTTTTTTTATTTTATTTTCCTTCCATTTTTTTCTTTCTTTCTCTCTCTAACCAAACCAAAATAACTTGTTTTCTACTTCATTTTCTTTGCTTTTTCCTTTCAAATTTCTTGAACCCAAAATAGTGCTATGGTAGTGTTTGGGAACTAGAATTCCTTTGAAATCTTAGATTTCAATTCCAACATTTGAAATTCCATAATTTCATATTCTAGACGATGTTTGGAAAGTTATAGAATTTCAATTCTAAAATTTGAATTTTGAAGTCGACAAAGACGATAACAGAAGAGGATTGATATGTATGAAATTGTTATTACATAATAGGAGATCACTCTTTAATTACAAGTTTTAAATTAAAGAAAAATTGTGTTTGAATTTGTAAATGACATGGGGAAGGGTGTGGAATTGTAGTTGCGATAGTTTTGAATTAGAAGAATTTAGTTTAAATCTAAATCTAAATTCTTTGAGGCCCCCACATTTGGTACACGGAATTCAAATTATGGAATTGGAATTGAGGACTTCAATTCCAATTCTGGTGTTTGGTAGCACAAAAATTATGTGCATTTGGAATTGATAGTGCAAAAAATGAATTGAAATTGATGAATTCAATTCTATGGAATTGAATCCCATGGAATTTCAATTCCAATTTAATTCCAATTCCATCAATTCCGTATACCAAACGGACCCTGAGTTTCCATACAAGTAATTTGGATCCAATATGGATTTAAAATCCAAGTTTGAGTCCCAAACACACCATTTTAAAAAGAATATTCTCAAGGTTATTGCTTGTGTTTTAAAATGAAATGTAGGAAATGAAAGAGCAGGGTACTTCTGAGAATAAATTGGTGCTATTGAAGGGTGTAAGTGGAGCCTTTAGGCCCGGTGTTCTCACAGCTTTGATGGGTGTTAGTGGTGCTGGAAAAACAACCTTGATGGATGTTTTGGCAGGAAGAAAAACTGGTGGGTATATAGAAGGTGACATCAAAATTTCTGGTTATGAAAAGAAACAAGAGACATTTGCCCGAATTTCGGGGTATTGTGAGCAGAATGACATCCACTCGCCTTTCGTCACCGTGTATGAATCACTAGTGTACTCCGCTTGGCTACGTTTGCCTGATGGGGTTGATTCCAAGACTAGAATGGTGGATACTATTTTCTTAAACATGTTATGAATAATAATAATAATAATAATAATAATAATAATAATAATAATAATAATAATAATAATAATAATAATAATAATAATAATAAATGCGATATAGCTAGCTACTTAGAATAATTAATTAATAATCAATCTTGCATATTTGTAGATGTTTGTTGATGAAGTAATGGAGTTAGTTGAGCTAGGCCCATTGAAATCAGCTATGGTTGGACTGCCAGGAGTTAATGGCCTCACAACCGAGCAGCGCAAAAGGCTCACAATTGCAGTTGAGTTAGTAGCAAATCCTTCCATTATCTTCATGGATGAGCCAACTTCCGAGCTCGATGCTAGGGCGGCTGCCATTGTTATGAGAACAGTTAGGAACACGGTTGACACAGGAAGAACTGTTGTTTGCACCATCCATCAACCTAGCATTGACATTTTTGAAGCTTTTGACGAGGTAATGAGATCATTATTGTGTAATTTCAACAACTACAACAAAAGAAAATGCAATGCCTTAATTTATGCTTAATAAAACTACTAACATGTAGTACTACGTACAGTTGTTCTTAATGAAACGAGGGGGACAAGAGATCTATGTTGGACCATTAGGACACCATTCTGTACATTTGATCAAATACTTTGAGGTATATCACTTATGTTTTTCATCATATGAAAAACCTAGCTGGTTCTTTGTAGTGTATTAGAATGCAGAGTACGTATAATTCTTTAGATGTTCTTAAATGTAATGTAGTCAATGGATGGAGTTCCCAAAATAAAGAATGGGTACAATCCGGCAACTTGGATGCTAGAAGTGACTACTTCAGCTCAAGAACTCGCACTCAATGTTGATTTTGCCGAGCTTTACAAGAACTCTGACTTATTCCGACGGAACAAAGCATTGATTTCAGAGCTAAGTATGCCTCGCCCTGGTAGCAAGGACTTGTACTTCCCTACTCAATTCTCGCAAAGCTTCTTTAGTCAATGCATGGCTTGTCTTTGGAAGCAACACTTGTCATACTGGCGAAACACATCTTACACTGCAGTTAGATTCCTCTTCACAACCATCATTGCTCTCACCTTTGGAACAATTTTTTGGAAGCTTGGTGGCAAAACGTAAGTTCAAATGAAAAGGTCTTATCCTCGCATTCATATTTAGGGTTTTCCTAGCTATTATTATTATTATTATTATTATTATTATTATTATTATTATTATTATTATTATTATTATTATTATTATTATTATTATTATTATTATTTTTACGGAGTATATATTATGAAAAACCCTTACTTTATTGGTTGAGTGTAGTGAAAAGAGACAAGATCTTATGAACTCCATGGGATCCATGTATTCTGCGGTATTGTTTCTTGGTGTGCAAAACTCTGCATCGGTTCAACCTGTGGTATCAGTTGAGCGTACTGTCTTTTACAGAGAAAAAGCTGCGGGGATGTTTTCGGCCTTTCCATATGCCTTGGCACAAGTACTAAGTGACAATCTATACACACACACACACACACATACATAGATATACAGAGTACATTTTTTATTTTAGCTTATTATGAAATTGAAAAAAGTCTAATGATGATCCATGGGAAATTGATTTTGCAGGTCGCAATTGAAATTCCCTATGTATTGATGCAGTCTGTCGTATACGGCTTGGTAGTTTATGCCATGATTGGATTTGAATGGAATGCTGGGAAATTCTTCTGGTACTTGTTCATGATGTTCTTCACGTTGCTATACTTCACCTATTACGGAATGATGTCAGTGGCCATTACTCCCAACCAAAATGTGGCATCCATTGTCTCCGCTTTCTTCTATGGAGTTTGGAACCTCTTCTCAGGATTCATGATTCCAAGACCTGTAAGTCCACACATTCAAAACAACTGTATTTTTTTCTTTCACAACATTCAGGTCATCATAATTATTCATCCCTTCCTATTAGCAACTCATTTAGAACGAAGCTGATATATATGACCTTTATGTGTATGCTTAATAGAGGATGCCTGTTTGGTGGAGATGGTACTTCTGGGCATGCCCAGTCTCGTGGACTTTGTATGGATTAATTGCATCCCAATACGGAGATCTCAATGATAAAATGCCTGAATTGAACACATCCGTCAAGGATTTCTTGGATTCTAACTTTGGCTTCAAACATAGTTTCCTCGGAGTTATTGCTGCTGTGATGATTGCATTCCCGACCATGTTTGCTATCACCTTTGCATACGCAATCAAGGTGTTGAACTTCCAAAAAAGATAAAAACCCAAATTTTGAGGAGATGATTCATTGTACTTCGCATCCTTGTATTTACCTCAATATATTGTGTCAATTTTTGTTCTTGTAACATCATGAAAAACATTACTCCCTCCGTCCCCCATAAATCTTTCCAATAGCCCTTTTTCTTTGTCCACAATAGATCTTCTCATTTCATTTTTTTACAATTAAAATACCACAACTACCCCCACTTACTTTATTTATTACACCTCACCCACCTCATTTAATACACTCCACCCATTTTCATTAAGGGTATTACAGTAAACTTTCACCTTTTTTCAACTCTCCTTAAAAACCACAAAAAGTCAAAATGAGAACATCTTAGGGGGACAGAGGGAGTACTATATACCGATCAAGTCCCTTTTCATTACACACGAATGTATGAATTAAAAGATGAATTTATTTTCAATTTAATTGATTTAAATTATGGTATATGTTGGAGTAGCTTAAACATATTTAGTTAGTTTGTTATGTATGGTTATTAATTTGTTCAGTTAGTTGCATTTCTTCCACTTCATATGGGTGATATGGCACTATATATGGTTCTCTCCACACACACACACACTGGCCTAGTCCTCCCACTCCTCCCCTCCCTTGTACCTTTTCTTTTTTTCTTATTTGAATAAAAATTTCGTTTATATATATATATATATATATGTAACACCCCAACCCGCGTGACCCGAATACAAGGACCAGCGGATCGGGTTGCTACTAAATTGGCATTCAAACGCAATAATTTTCAAAACAATTTAAAAACATTTAATTCGAAACAATATTTAAATATCCATCAGAGTAAATCAAAACGGTGCGGAAGCCTTTAAGTACTTAATCAAAATACATCTCTGGGTTCTTGCCCTTAAAAACATAATTAATTTAAACTTAAATATTAAATAATAAACTCCTCCAGCTAGCATCCATCCATCTCTTTGCCCTCGCTCCCTCCAAGACCGTCTCATTATTCATCGTTCCTGTTACCTACGTGTAGCAAATAGGAAAAAGGGCTACACGCTCAGCAATGAAGCTGAGTGGAAACTATCTAACGTTCAACTACGCACATAGACGAACCCACTAGCTCATAATTCCATACAATATCATGCACATAAGTACAACATTATAATATCACATAACAATATCAACAATTCACACAATATGTTACTTACCCTGCACCTGCAAATGTCACTATCACAATATTCAAGTCATTACACTAACTCATATTCAACACTAGCTCATAACCTATTCTAGGCTAAGGCCAATCCCTCATTATCCACATTCTTATCTTAGGACTTAGAGTCACTCCCTACGGCCATGACTCAAAGTCTATTCTATGACATCAGAACCACTACCTACGGCCATGATTCTGGTCAACCCGGTACCTACGGCGCTGGTTGGGTGGAACCTCCAATCCTACGGATCAGATCCTAGATTCCATGTACGTACATTTTTACCCGAATGCCACTGGACTAAGTCCACAAGGCTCTACACCTATTGTCAACTTACAATCTCAATTCTCACAAAGTAGTCCTAGAGTTCATCTCGGTAACCTATCTCATAAACATACTTTAATTATACAGATCTCACTATCAACAATTCAGTTACTTGCTTCACACAGAGCACATCAGAATTATATTTATAGATAATAAGAGAACAACAATAATCATATATTATATCAATTAATACAAACAACGGCCTAGCGTCGGGTGTAAACACCTTCCACTTACCTTCATGCAAATCACACAAATTTGAAGTAAGAAAACGTACCTGACCATCCTCATTCAATCAATTCCAATATTAACATACAATATAGATAAATCATAATTTAATTACAAACAAATAAACCACACAATCAATCATACAAAACTGCGAACGTGAATGTCAAATCTATATACATAATCTAGCGTTAGATGTGCAAGTTCTGACCTCGATTAATTGATGAATTAAACAAATCAAATTCTCAAGAAGATGTCGGCCAACACGGCAGTAGAGCAGCCGCTACCCAGCGGCCTCCGGGTCGTGGCAGTAGTCAATTCCTACGGCAAACGGCGGCGGCGGCAGACAGTGGTGTTCCAGCGGCAGTTCTATTTCCGGCGACTGAAGCAGCGGCGGTAGCGGGTCAGCGATCCCTTCTCTACCGTAGCAAGTTCCGTTTCTTTGCTGTTCTCTCGTTTACGTTTTTCTTTCCTTTTCTTTTTTTGGTTTTGCTGGTGTGCGTGCATAATACATAGTATATAAAGGGGTGGGAAGCTGATTTTCGTATCACGGTAGGAGTAGGTTAGTGGGAGAAATACCAAAGTAGGACTAAAACATTGAAAATCTATCAAAATAGACTTTCATGTTTTTATTCCCGAAATAGGACTTACATTACCAAACATGGTCATATACATTACCAAGAAAGTATAGTAATTTGCACATGTACACTGCCACATTACCACAATGTAAAGTCACATTACCACAGTGCAAAGTCCTATTCCAGGAAAAAAAACATGAAAGTCCTATTTTGGTACTTTTCTCTATGTTTTAGTCCTATTTAGGATGATTTCTATAGGTTAGTTTAGGATATTTTCTTTTTATTATTTTATTATAAAATCCTTATATTTATTTATTGAGCTGTAATGTCTATTTTACTCATCACGCTTCATACGTATGTCTAATTTTAACAAACTATATACCGTTGGTCACCATTTTATGAGATCTACCCGAAAACCCAATTTTCATTTAAAACGGATAACTTCACAATTAATTCATGTTTTTGAGTAAATAAATTTAATATTTATTTTTAATAAAATAACGGCTAACTACTAAGTTGATTTTCGGGGCGTTACAATATATATATATATATATATATATATATATATATATATATATATATATATATAGACACACACACACACACACTAGTGCCTTGTTTCCTGTTCCGAGATGTACAAGTTTATATAGAAGCCATTGTTCAATAAATAAGAATGAGTTCTTTCATTTTCTCTTTCATCATCTGTGTAAATTCCAACATGGTATTGAAGAAGTAATTTAATCCCTTCTTTTTCTCTTCTATTTCGATCTTCATCTTTGGCTTCAATGGCAGACAACAACACATGAAATTTAGGGAGAATTGATCCTTTTGATCCATATTACCTTCATCCGTCAGATTATCCAAGTTTAGTTCACACCTCAAACAAATTTGATGGAAATAGATTTGGATCTTGGCAGAAATTGATGGAAACTCCCCTATGCCAAGAACAAATTACGTTTTATGAATGGTTCAATCCAGAAACCTAACAATCTTGCTCAGCTTCTCGTTTCGTAGCAATGTAATGATATGCTTACATTGTGGATTTTGAATGTTCTAATAAGCAAAGAAATAGGATATAGTGTTCTGCATGCATATATTGTGGCTGAAATTTGGAGTGAACTTGATGAAAGATTTGGACAATCTAATAGTGCACGATTGTATCAACTCCAAAAGGATCTCTGTTTGATTTCTCAAAGAAAATACTGACAATGCCACAAACTACACAAGAATGAAAAAGGTCTTGGATGAACTAGGCATGATTACAAGCTTAATTACCTCGCTATAATTGTCGAGATGTTCAAAGAAATCTAGGGGTGAGCACATTTCGGTAAACCGACCGAACCGTACCGAAACCGAAGACTTTGGTACGTACCGAAACCGAACCAAACAATTTGATTCGGTATTTGGTTTTAAGTTTTTAAGAAATTCGGTTTTCGGTTCGGTAATAATTTTTGTGTCGGTATTTCGGTAAAAACCGAATACCGAAATAATTTAAAAATATTTTATAGTTCTACCCAACCCATTACAAATATCCAGCCCAGTTTTAAAAAAGTGAATATGCAGCCCACTTCTAAGTTAAACCTAGGTTTCCTTTTTCTATGTTTTTTCGATCAATTGGATGGAAATGATGGAATTAGTAGGCCGGCAGTAAGGACTAAGGTCTTCGACTCTTCGCAAAAGTCAGCCGGCAAGGAGATCTTCGGCTCTTCGGCGCTGGCTTCTTCATCCGATCGATCGCGCGGCCATCTTCATCCCCTCCGTCTGGCGACTCAGTTCTTTATTTGGTTTGTTGCATCTCCTTACCCTAATGGCCTAATTTGCTTTTATTTATGTTTTTTTTTCAGTTTTTTATATATTCGTTCACATTTCATGTACGAAATTAGGATGTTCACAGTTCATTTCCCCGTTTGTTCACTCGTCTATGTGCTCAAAGTCCCTTTTTTTCGGTTTTTGGTAAAACCATTTACCAAACCGAAATATTTCGGTTTGGACCGAACCGATTAAGTTAATTTCGGTTCGATATTCGGTACAGAGAATAAATAACTGAATTTTCGGTTTACCGAATTTTCGGTTCGGTTCGGTACGGTTTTACCGAATGAACACCCCTAAAGACATCTGAAAGATGACAAGATCAAATGCTTGTTCAATTTGTAATGGGCCTCAACTTTGACTATAACACCATTCGAGGCAACATCTTCTCATCAAACCCTTTCCTTTTGCTTGTGCACCATATGAGATCAGATGCTCATCCAAGAAGAATAATAGGAGATTGATAAATTCATTTTGTACACACTTATCTTTTCTATATTTAATGTGTTATTGTCCAATTTTGGATTAAATAAAAAAAATCTCAATGATTTTTAAAAGTTTTTGTTTATAATTGTAAAAGTGCGCAAAAGTCATGTTTTGTTGTAAAAAAGTAAAAGTAGGGTCAAAAGTGGTACAAAAGTGTAAAAAAAATTGTATAATTCGAAAGACCAAAGTAGGACTAAAACGTTGAAAAATATACCAAAATGGGACGTCCATGTGTTTATTTCCAAAATAGGACTTAAAATGCATTTACATTACCAAACATGGTCATGTACATTACCAAAAAATATAGTAATGTGCACATGTACAATGCTACATTACCACAGTGCAAAGTCCTATTTTGGAAAGAATATGAAAGTCCTATTTTGGTACTTTTCTCTATGTTTTAGTCCTATTTAGGGTGATTTCCATAAACTATGTAACATAATTTAATTATATAATACTTATTAGAGTAAATTCCATAAAAAATTCCTAGTTATAGCTCGTTTTATATATTTAATGCCTACATATCAAATATTACTAATTTAGTCCCCAATTATTATATCATTTTTTTCACGAATGGTCTTTTATTAACGTTTTTGTTAAGAACACGGATAAAATTGTATATTCGTATTTCTCTTTCCCCCCAATTCAGCTTCCTCTCTCCTCTCGTACTCTTTCCCAAACTCGTCGCTGAGTTTGAAGCTCTAATCCAAAACTGAAATGATCATTCCTCTCTCAATTATTAGTCCTCCTGGTGGTACCTAAAATCAAAATCAATAAGGTTTATGGATGAGTTTTATCGATTAGTCTCAAGAAATTGAAAAGAAAATAAACATCAAAACTCATCCATGAACGTTACTGGTTTTGAATTTGGGTTCCACGAGTTAGACAAACAATTGAGAGAAGGGTGATGATTTCGGTTTTGAGTTCAAAACTTCAAACTTAGTGACGGGGTTGGGAAAGGACTACGAGGAGAGGGAGGAAGCTTAATTGAGGAGAGACAGGAGTGTGAATTTACAATTTATCCACATTTTTGATGGAAATGCTAACAAAAGACCATTCGTGGAAACGAATATATTAATTGGAGACTAAATTGGTAATATTTGATATGTAAGGACTAAATATGTAAAACGACCTATAATTGGGAACCTTTTATGGAATTTACTCTACTTATTACTCCCTCCGTCCCAATTTATAACGCCTGTTTTCCTTTTTCGTCCGTCCCAAAATGATATGCCTGTTTCCTATTATGGTAAGTTTTTAAAAATAGATTTCCTAAACTATCCCCAATATATCTAACTCCTACAACCCTTCACCCCTCATTTTCCACTCTCGCCCATCTCTACTCCTTCCCTTTCTACTTCTACTCTTATTTTTCGTCCACACATTTCTATCTCTCACTTCATCTTCTGCCACTCCTTTTTCTCCTTGGGTTTCTTCCGTAGATTTCTTCTTCTATGAAGCCAGGTGTGTTCTTTCAATTATTTCTCTTTATTCAAAATTTTCTCTCTTCTCCATCATTCTCTTTCTCCTTCTCTTTTGTAGATTTTTCTCTTTGAATGTATTCTTTCTTTTTAACCAATAACACTTTTTATAACAGATCTAGGGTTTTGTCTTTGATCGTTTTTTTAGCTTTTAAGATCTAGGGTTTTTGAACTTTTCAGATCTGTGTTTTTTGCTTTTCGGATCTACGATTTTCGCAGTAAGGTAAGTTTCTATGGTTTCCACTACAAATATTTTTCCTATTTTCATATGTTACTTTGTGGTTTCTATCAATCTTTCTTTGTCAGATCTTGAAGGGGTATATGATAAAATTTCAGATCTCATGTTCATCTTATCTTGAAGAGCTCCATGATGAAATTTCAGATCTTCAATGTTGAACTGCTGTTGCCGAGGTTGTTGCAGAAGCTGCAGCCTATCTCTTTTCCTTCCCCATGTTTTAATTTCAGTGTTGGGTGTATTTTTTTTACAGAATTGTTTGTGTAAGGAAGAGGAAATTTCTCTTAAAAACATTGGTGTGATATAATTTGGACTGTTTGATGTTTGATTTCATTTCATCCATTCTTTATTATTTGTGTGATTCATGTTTCTTGTGCGTATGTGATGGCCCGGATAGGAGTGAGGAAGTGCAGATTCACCCATTTCATTTTAATAGTGCAAGGGCATTTTTGGAAGGTCAATGCCATTTTTTCCATTTCTTAAATATACCCCAAAGTCAAAACGGGCGTTATAAATCGGGACGGAGGGAGTATGTAATAATAGAATGAGTATAATCATTGTTTTTTTAATGTTTTTCTGAATTTAGTCTAAAAATACCTTATGTAATTAATTTTGACCAGATCAAATTTGATTCAGGCTACTTTGATTACATCTGCCAGATCTGATTAAATTTGATCTTATCTAATTAATTTCAGTTTAATCTCATTTTAATAAAGATAAGAAATAAATTAAAAAATAAAGTAAATCACATAATTGATCTTTTATAACATGGGGTTTTCCTTTATAATTCTTTGCTATCAAATATTACCTGCTAGACCTTCTTTGATAGGTATCTTTCCACAAATAGTTTTTTTTGACTTTCTATCATGTTGATATTAATTTAAGAGTTAAAAGTGTAATTTCATAATGATAATATGTCCTTCTTGTCATACACAATACAAAGATTGTTCTTGATGTATCGTTTGTGAATTACAATCGTTTTCTTGTAACAACATAGTCTATAGATGCAGTCTTTTTTCGGAATCATAACCCACAATCATAATCATTATTTTTATGTTATCCATCTAACAAATATGAGAATACGTCACTGGACATAGGGTTAACGTCAAATTATACTTTTAGCATTTAAATTAATACGAACATAGGAGAAGATAAAAAGAAGACTATTTGTGAAAAAGAATCCATTAAAAAAAGACTACAGGGTAATATGTAATAATAGATGACCATATATATATATATATATTGACTGACTGGAGTCAATCCCTATATATATATTGACTCCAGTCAGATGACATCTTTCGGTCAGATGACATGCTTCAGAATGAGCACCACCTTGCTTGAGAATGAGCACAACCTTATTTCAGAATGAACACTACATTGAGCATACTGTGAATGAGTACTAGGTTGTTTCAGAATGAGTACTACGTTTATAAAGAACAAATGTGTGAAAGTCAACCCTACGATGTCTTAGAATGAACACTACGTGGATTCAAAATGAACCCTATGTTGTCGTCTCGCTGGCTATGAATGAACACTACATTGTGATGAACAGTTGTGTGAGAATGAATCCTACGTTGTTTAAGAATGAGCACTACATTGATCCAGAATGAGCATTCGTTGTCATCTGACCGAAAGTGTCATCTGACCGAAACATGTCATCTGACTGGAGTCAATCCCTATATATATATATATATATATATATATATATATATATATATATATATATATATATATATATATATATATATCATTTTGTTATAACGGAGCAATTACAGAACTTACTCAAAAATAAATGAGCTATTTTAGAATTTACTCAAAAATAATTCGAATGGAACCCTCTAGCCACTAATCCCCACTATTCTTCTGTCACCGAAAAATAAAATAAGTACAGAACCCTAATTCGATCTTTTAATCTCATGGCTTCATAAAATTTCTCCGTCATACGTTTAACATTCTCTCCCCATTAGTATTTACAACAAATACATTTTCATTTGATCAAAAGGCCCTGTGAGCTTGAAAACAGCAAGAAATGGATATTCAAGTTGGAAAGAAGGAAGGCCAAGATGTTGTAGTTGCCTCAGTTGTAGAGCTTCCATCATCATCAATACCAGCTTCTTTTGATTCAGCTTCCCTTTCTAGTTCGTCACCTGTTATAGCCCACTTTGGCATGGATTCCGGATTTGCCCAGCTTCGTTTTGGGGGAGAATCTGAGCCGGATATAAGGACTGTAGTTGATCTCAGAAGTTCTCAAGTGAGCCACTTTTGCATTTAATCTATATCTATTTTTTTTGTATTTAAATAAGTACTTCAAATTTTAAAATTTGATGCTCTTATCGAAAAAGATTTTATATTGGACAAATGTGGTACATTTTAACTTACAGCAGAAAACTTCTGCTTGAAGAAGTTCATGACACCTCAGTCGTTAGGATGAGATTCATGATCTTTGGACTTTCTGAAAGTGAACTTTGCTTGTTCTTTGACGTTCCAATGTGTCAGAATTCATTAGATGTGTTTAGCTACTGTGCATTATGCATATGCCTGGTAAGCAAACAGTGAATCATATTACTTTGAGAAACTTTGCCTATTTTTTTAGAGATTTTTTTAGATATGTTTTGGTCATATATAGCTTTCAAATTGCATTCTTTGGGTACATCTCTATTGATTGTTCATGGAAGACTATAATAGCATCCTCTTAACAAGAAAAGATGACATCTTTTGCTGTAAGCCTTAATTACGATATACCTGATAAAAGTGGCTTTGAACCGACATTTCTTCACGACCCAAGTTGTTTCCTATTTACAGCTATTTAGGCTAAGCCCGGTTCAATTGGTCTGCATATCAGAAGCACATGAAGCGAACAAAGAGGTAAAAAACTACATGTTGATGCATTATCTACGCGCTCCCCCCCACACACACACGTAGACACACACACCCACACACACATATATGTATAGATATTGTTTATTTTTGCTTGAGTGAGGTTTTGAACTCTGGCGGAGGGATTGGGGAAGTGGCATGCATTATCAATATTTGCAATTTTGTATGTAACCAAATTTAGTCCAATATGTACATGACCAGATCTTTAGGATCCAACTGGGTTGTTGTCTTTGAATGTACATGACCAGATCTTTAGGATCCAACTGGGTTGTTGTTTTTGAATGTACATGACCAGATCTATCACATATCAAATGTATTGCCTGGAGTACAAAATTATTTGTTAGTTGGTTATTCTCTGTACATTGATTGATAAAACATTTTGGAATTTGTATATGCTTTTGAACCAGACAACGTGTTCAAGGGGAATCTCCATTCAATTTACAGAGGAGAAGGAAAGTAGTGCCTTCCAGAGCGCCTTTGAAAATTGGAAAAAGCAAGTGGCTGTACAAGGTCTCTAGGAATATAAGATATTGTAATTAAGTTGGGTTTTATGGTCTAATATTGCTAGCTACCAACTCTAACTAGTCTTTACAGGTGCATCTATGCAAAATGGAGCAGAACCAACCTCTAAAAGCAAATTTGATGACAAAATTGAAGCATCTTCTGCCAAAATGTACTTTCATTACTATGGACAGCTTCTACATCAGCAAAATATGTTGCAGGACTATGTCAGGACAGGTTTTATATTTGTGGTTTATGATATTCTTTTGTAGCTAAGAGTTACTTGCATATTTTTTTTTGTCAAGTTTTATTTTATTTGATGTAAGGAATACATTCTGTTCATACCTGAAAATGATAATGGATTATCTACTTATCTGGAGGCAGGAACATATTATGCTGCAGTTATTGAGAACCGTTCTGATTTTCATGGTCGGGTAGTGGTTGATGTTGGTGCTGGTAGTGGGATTTTGTCATTATTCGCTGCTCAGGTCGCCTGTCTGTATTTATGATGAGATAGCTTCTGTCTTTTGTAAACAATAACATGATGAATCAAAGTTGTTCATTTTTTGTTGATTGTTTTTTCCTCCTTTTCCCTTCCTTATAGGCTGGTGCAAAACATGTTTATGCTGTAGAAGCATCAGAAATGGCTGAGTATGCAAACAAATTGATTGCTGGTAATCCATTATTAGCTGACAGAATCACTGTAAGTTTTTTGTTTTAATTGAATGGCAGTGAAACTGTTAATGGTAATCTTATAAGTACTTACCTCATGGGACTGAAAGTAATTTGTAAATTGCCGGAAAATGTACAAATTTATATATTCATATATATCATGGAAAAACAGCATCATTGTTTTGCCATTTATCTCTGCATGTAGTAACTATATCCCGAAAGGAACTTCATTGTATACTGTGCCTGAAATAACCACACCCTGAACTTATCATTATTGCCAATTCTATGATATTCAGGTAATAAAGGGAAAGGTTGAAGATGTTGAGTTACCAGAGAAAGCTGATATTTTAATTTCTGAGCCAATGGGTAAATGTTATTTCTCATTACCCAATGGGGTGCATTTTCTTTGATGTTGTGGTGCTAGAGATAAAACATTACCTTTGAACTAATAAGTTTTTGTGAAATTTATACTAACATTTCACCAAAAAGATAGCTGTGGCTGCTGCATGGTTGCTTTAAGTTCATGTATGAGATTCTGAATTGAAATAAGTATTAAAAAAATATGTTACTCCCCTGACTGGATATAAGCATCCATTTTCCAAATAAAAAACTCATTTTTAAGGAGCAAATGTAAAATAGCTCCATCCATCCCATAAAAATTCCCTATTATGCTTTTAATTAAACTACAACTACAGAATATCACAGTCTAAATAGTGTGCGGATTCAACTTTAGAAGTTGATTTTAGGATAGGGAGAGTATGAATAGTGGACCACTAATTCCGTACACCCAAATGGGAAAGTGGACAACTAAATCTTGTTGAAGGGAGATTTTTTAAATATGTTTTGAGAATTAATTTTGAGGTTAGTGTTCTCTTTGTAAAGAGAGTTTTGTGGACATGTTGCGTATCGAATAAAAATACACTAGCATTTGAACTTGCTTTTGACCACATTCTCAATACACTTGCAATGAATATTTCTAGCACAACCACAACAACCCAGTGGAATCCTGTGAATGGGGAGGGTAGATTTATGTAGACCTTACCCTTTCTTAGGGAGGTAGAGTGATTGTTTCTAAAAGGACATCTCAAGCAATATGTGAAAAATCGTAAAAATAAAAATGAAATCCAGCACGCAACACCTAAAAATAATCAAACCAGAGAAAGAAAATCTACCTGACACAAGAATCCTGACGCTAACCAACTACCATAATCGTTGATCTTCAAACACTCCTATTCAGAGCCATATCCGTAGAGCATAAAAATGAAATTCAGCACACCACCTAAAAAATAACAAAATCGAAGAAAGAAAAACTTTCTGACACAAGAAACCTGACACTAAACAACGACCATAGTTCTTGATCTTCAGACACTTATGTAGGGCCATATGGGCAGAGCAGCAACAACTACATGTGTCTAATCACTTCCTCCAACCTTTTGCACTTGCTGACTCGTGCATTAGTACTCCTCACATGGCCTAGTCACTTCATTCTTGACTCGTGCATCTTTTCCTCCACAGGGGCACATACAGACATTTAAGTGGCCAACATCGATCCCCATACCACATTGCCGGTCAAACCATCACCATATGTAAATTACCCTTTAGCTTTAGCGGCACACAGATAGCTGCTTGTAGCAGAAAACCCCGGTACCAAGCCTCCATTTCATCCCTCCTCTAATATGTTGTGTAAGAATGTCATCAATCTCCCCATTACCCTGAATAAACAATCCAAGGTACCGGAAGCTATCTTTCTTTGGGATGATCTGTTTATCAAGCTTCGCTTCCACAGTCCACACCCAGCCTAATTGAGACGTTGCTAAATTACACTCTTTATGTTCTTTTTTAGGCTTATTTAATTTGAACTCCATTTATTCTGTCTTAGTCCCAAGTTTGCCTTCAAACCTTCAACCAATCATAACCCCACTCCTAGTCTCGTTAATCAGTATAATGTCATCAGCAAACCACATACCCCATGGTAAAAAACAATCAACACACTCCATGGTACTTATTGTCATTTCAACTCATCCATCAACAAGGGAAATTAAAATGGACTGAGAACTGAAAACCATGGTGTAACCCTATCTTGACCGGAGAGTGATCCTAGTCCCTTCCTACCGTTCTCTTTCAAGTCTTGGCAGCCTCATACATGTTCTTAATCACCCGAATGTATGCCGCAGACAGAGCTCTTAGCTCTATACTCTAAGCCTGTCCACGCCACCTCCTCAAGGAACTGTATCATGCGCCTTCTCAAGGTCAATGAAAATCATTTGCGGGTCTCTCTTTCTTTTTTGCCGTGCAGTGATTCATCAAACTCCTCACAAGGTGAGGCCTACATAGTCGAACATTCAGAATGTACCCAAATCTGTTCTCTGAAATAGTCACCTTTTTCCCATTCTTATCTCAATCTCTCTCTCTCTCTCTCTCTCAAATCTTGATAGCATGACTCCGTAACTTGATAGCCCTATAGTTGGGCCCTGTTCTTTTGGGTTGGAAAAATTAACTTCCAACTCTTTCCAATTTCTTCCAACTCTTTCTAGTTTCTTCCAACAACGACTTAAAAAGATATTTATATATGATTAATATAAAATAATATTATATATCTAAATTTATAACATATGACCTCAAACACAGACAATTATGAATTCTTTTTTATCCAAATTATAGTTTTATGACATACTTATTTGGATGATCATTTAATTGAGTGACTTTTTAACACTTAAATTATTCCAACATTTTCCAACTCTTTTCAGTTTTTTCAACTCCTTCCACTTTCTTCCAACTCCTTGCAGTTTCTTCCAACATCTAACTCTGAAATTCCAACCCATAAGAACATGGGCTTAATGTCAATTTGGATATTGTCTATGTTCTTGTACAATGAAACCATCATCCTCCACCTCCATTATGGGCCGTATGCGTCTTGAAGTTGACATTAATCAACCTTGTTGGCCATCTGCTTTACCCACGCTCTTCCAGGTGTTGTCAAGTATCTCGTATGGCTCAATCACTCTTTCACCCTCCGTCTTACTAATGGACTCCTCTACCTTAAAGCGACGACCTCATTGCATGTTTCAACTCATCGAAAACAAACTATCCTTTGCCTTCTCTGTTAAATATCAATGAAAGTAAGGACTATAGCATCATCTAACGTTTGCAACTCCCATCCAAACTCTCTTGTTCTCGTCCTCAATACACTTAACTTGGTCTAAACTGCGTGCCATCTGCTCCCCCACCTTGGCTTGCTTGAAAATATTTGATCCCCGCCTTTCATTTCATGAATTATATGCAGATAGGATTTTCCCACATGACCACATCTAGTTCAAGAAGTGTTGTGAATGAATTTTATGTGCATAATTTCAGTTTTTCCCATCATAAATGCATTGAATGGTTAATTGTTCCATTTAATATATATTTAAAGGGTGTTCTTAGATGAAGTCGAACATCTCTATTTTGTAAACATGATATTTTTTGCTGATGTAGGCAATATACAATTCTGTGTTGCACTATTACAGGGACATTGCTAGTTAATGAAAGAATGCTTGAATCATATGTGATTGCAAGAGACCGATTTCTTGGACCAGATGGGAAAATGTTTCCTACACTAGGAAGGTATCTACTACTACATCCAATTTTATATGTATGCTAAAGCACCTAGGGCTCCCTCAAGTTATTTATGTGTCATTTTTACATTATTTAATTTATCTATTTAATGCTCCCTCCGTCTCCCATAAATCTTCCCATTAGCCCTTTTTATTTGTCCCACATCTTCTCATTACCTTTTTTAACATTTAAAATACCACAACTACCCCCACTTTATTTATTACACCTCACCCACCTCATCTAATACACTCCACCCATTTTCATTAAGGGTATTTTAGTAAACTTTCACCTTTTTTTCAACACTCCTTAAAAACTACAAAAAGTCATAACTAGAAGTTCTTAAGGGGACAGAGGGAGTAATACATAAATATATATTAAAGAAGAACATCAATTAGAAATTCTTAGAATATAGTGAAGACACTAAAGACTAGTCTAGGGAGTTCTCCATCCCCTTACCCTGACAATTCTGCACGGCGGGGATTGATTGGCTCACCTTCGGGACTGGATCTTATACTAGATAAAACAAGTGAACCCAGAATAGTTGTGTTGATCAATAATTAATGCATCAAAGATAGAATAGGATACATGGAATAATAAATCATCAAAACCTTTATTGTGTAGTTCTTTGAAAAGATAGATCTGCTTTGTTTGGCCGTTTCTCAAATTTCATTCTCACTTGTGCAGGGATGGAGGGAGGGGGGGGGGGGTGGGGGGTTGGGTGGGAGATTTAAAAAATTTAAAAAGAGTTGCAAAGATTTTGAAAAGCTCTTGAAAAAGATACTAACTGATGCTAAAGTTGCTTCAGTTACACTATTTCTACACCATTCTAATCTTTCACCTGAATTGTTTTTATGCGAAACTGACCGTCTGATTGAACGAAACTAACTGAAAACATCCTTCCAATGATTCATAGCAATCCGAAGTTGTTTCGTCGCAAAGTCGTATTAGAATAAAAGCAACGTAGTATTTAGTTTGAAATATAAGAAAGTAGGAGTTGTATGATATTTGGGTGAAATGACATCAGATTGTTATGAATCTTTCGGGAGGGATGATCTACGTGATAGTGTCTTTTAAGTCTATGGTCGGTTTTGCATAAAAACAATTCGGGTGAAAGATGCGAATGCGTAAGTGAGGGAGTGAGGGAGCAAGTGAGTGAGTGAGGGAGCGAGCAGGCGCATGGGGGGGGGGGTGTTGGGGGGAGCAAGAGGCTTTTTCTGGCTCTGTGCAACTCAAATTGTCTTAGTAACAATTAAGACCTTAAGAAAATTGACAATACTGAGGGTTTATTTTTTACCACTTGTAGAATACACATGGCACCATTCACTGATGAATATCTATATTTGGAAATTGCAAATAAGGTACTCCTTTCTTTACACGTTTCCTGTCTCTGCTTCAAGTCATTAATACATTTGGGTGATCCATTTGACTAGTTTCTGATGGTAGACTTCCACCATGTTTCACCAAATTGTGCTTTTAGAAACTATTGAGGAAGTATGAGTAGAAGAATCATTCATCAGTAATTTGATAAAATGAATGAATATTTTTAATCAGATAGCTAAATGTTTTTGGTTTAGTTAACACTGTTTATTTTGTTGTATTCTGTTCTCTCGATTGGAATCAAATTCATGTGGTGTTCTTTCCTGCATTGGTCTTTTTAGTCACTCCGTAATAACATGTTTCCATGATCTCAGTATTTCCTCATTCTTTAATTCTCAGGTTGGCTATATTTTTGGGGGTTATTTAACACAATTAATGCTCTGTAGGATTCAAACCTACAGTGTTGTATTTGAATAACTTCAACCTAGCTTCCTGTAACTTATCCTCTATAGGTGCTACTCCACATCAAAGCCTCAACACTCCGCTGCCTCACATATCCAAATCACCTCAACCTAGCTTTCTGTAACTTATCCTCTATATCCTCTATAGGTGCTACTCCTTCCCGTCCTTGAATAACCTCATTTGAATCCTATCCAGTCATGTGTGTCCACTCATCCACCAGCATTCACATATGTGCAGCATGTAGTTGATGAATGTGGGTCTTCTTAACAGTCCAACAATCTGCACCGTTGGTTTGACTACGCACGAATAGAATTCCCCTTTCATCTTCTTGTCGCATTGAACCCTGAGACCAACTTCCACTTAGGCAGCGTTCTCTTCAACTTATTTTTTCTGCTTATTACTTCAGATCAGAAACAACTTTAATTATAACTGCAATCTGATCCCACCAGATCAGACCAGATCCGACAGACCCATAGTTATCAAGGCGTCGCCTAGGCGACGCTTAGGCGTCTGGGCGAGTGTTTGTGGATGCCAAATTGGTCGCCTAGCTTTTTTTCCCTGGGCGACGGTGTTGTACAGTGACTATGTCTCCATCTCCGATACGCGTCTCTGTTTTAGAAGCGCAATGGAACGCGCGAGATAGAGAGAAGACGGAGGAGGAGATAGAGAGAAGACAAAGGAGAAGATGGAGAGAAGACTTATCTCGCCGATTATTTGTCGCGGTGCGGCTTCCAGATCTGCAACCTCCACTGCCTCTTTCTATTTCTCTATCATTTAGACTAGTGGACTAAGGCTCTGTTCTAGGTCTGATCTGATTAAATCTGATCTGAATTTTGGAAGTTCTGATCTAATCTGATCTGATTGGATCTGATCTGATCTGATTGGGTCTGATCTGATTTGATTGGGTCTGATCTGATCTGATTGGATCTGATCTGATCTGATTGGATCTGATCTGATCTGATTAGATCTGATCTGATTGGATCTGATCTGATCTCATTGAATCTGATCTGATCTGATTGGATCTGATCTGATTAGATCTGATCAGATTATATCTGATCTGGTGTAAATGAATTTAAATTTGGTTAAAATTAAACTTATAATTATTACAAGAAATAATATTAATAATTTTAAAGTATTAAAATCCATATATAAATAGAAAAATGTAAAATAAAAATATCATTAACAATAACTAATTATTAATATATTATTAAAAATTGCTTTAAAATATAAAATATCTTTTGAATATCACTATTTCTATAATTTTTTAATATACAAATTACAAGATAAAATGGATTAAAAAATGTATTGGATGGTGTGCAAAAATGAAAGTGGACAAATATAGTGGGACGGAGAGAGTATAATACAAGTATCATTTGTTCAACTCTCCTTTAATAATATGGAGTAATAATAATAATAATAATAATAATAATAATAATAATAATAACAACAACAACAAATAATAATACTAATTTTTATTGTATTTTGTTCTGGTCCGATCTAATTAGATCTGATCTGATTAGATCTGATCTGAATAGATCTGATCTGATCTGATTGGATCTGATCTGATCTGATTAGATCTAATCTGATCTGATTGGATCCGATCTGATCTGATTGGGTCTGACATGATCTGATCTGATCTGATTGAATCTGATCTGATATGATTGGATCTGATCTGATTGGATCTGATCTGATCTGATTGGATCTGATCTGATCTGATCTTAATAAGAATAAGTAATAAGCAAAAAAAATAAGTCCTACGGAACGTACCCTAAGTCAGACAATTGGGCTGGATTCATTAAAAGACTATTGGACCTTTTAATAAATTATTTCACTGGATTCATTAAAAGACTATTGGACCTTTTAATAAATTATTTCATACTATATGCTTTAACATTAGTACCTATAAAATTATTATGGTCGCCATAGACCACTTGCCCAGCGAACGCCTAGGCGATTGGAAGGTGCTCTAGCGCCCAGCCTCGCCTAGCCGCCATAACAACCATGACCGGATCAGACTAGATCAGGTCTTCAAAAAATCAGATCAGAACAGACGAACAAAACGCAGCCTTAGCCCAAGCCACTCCAGTATAGTGCTCAACATCCCCACCTAACTCTCCATCTGCGTGGATGACCGAACCAAAATATTGAAACTTATCTTTTAGGCACTAGGTGAGGATCAATTCTTACTTCTACCTATGATTCCGCTACTCGGCCACCGAAACAACATTTTTGTTTAAAAAGAGAAATGATGTGAGCCACACATGCCTTTTCTTAAAAGGAAATTAGGAAATAGTAAAGTTTATTATGCAACAGATGGAAAAGAAAAGTGTGAAAGAGCTCCATCCGTGACGGAACCTTAGAAACACTGGGCCGTGTCAAAGTCTATTCAATTATGCTTAAATTGCTTCCATTTAAACACATGAAACCATATCAGATTGGTAGCTGAAATTTAGTGTCAACTGTCAACTAGTTTAGAACAGTTAGTTTGACACTAATTTACGGGGCCTATAGGAAGCATCTTCTCAATCTCTATAGGTAGGGTTAAGATCTGCTTCCACCTACCCATCCCACTCTCCGAAAACCCCACTTGTGATAGTTTACTTTATTGTGTTGTTGTCCACATTATGTCTCACCATTTAAGAATGAATAAAGAAATGATTGTAAAGTATCATTAGATGTCAAGGAGTCAAAATGGTTGATGCTGCTCCATAAAATAAAAATTTACATAATAGAACAAGGTTGAGTAGTTTGTGTCTAAACAACAACACTTCATTGAGTTCCCTTAAAATAGTTTAAAACTATTTTGAATTATGTACTCAAATTTCACTAAAAACAACAAACTCAGTATAACCCCAACTCCGTTGGGGTCTGTGGGATTGGGGGTGGGGGGGTCAAGATGTATTCATTCTTACACATGTAAAAAATATAGAGGTTGTTTCTGTTAGCCCCCCTAAATGCGTTGCCACAATTACTACTGACACCTCCACAGAAATTAAAGAGCGCGGTAAGTTTAATGTCCCATTTTGATTTAGTCCATTATTTGCCGGAGCTAAAGCATTGTCAATAATGACTCTTCTAGCTCCATTCGTAATAGACGGCACTCAAATTTTAATTATGAACGCCAATTTTTTAGCTGGGAAAATTAAACTCTCTGTACGTATTGAAGCGGCTGATCAATTTTAGATGCATTAATTTTTATGCGTATTGGTGATAACTTAGAATAATACTTGTTTGATAATAAGAATAATCTAACCACTTGTAATAAATATCCTTCTTTTCTAGGCTGTATTCTGGCATCAAGAAAACTATTTTGGCGTCAATTTAAGGCCCTTGCATGGATCTGCCTTTCAAGGATACTTCTCACAGGTTGATGACTTTAAATTTGACTGGTTTTAGTCTGTAGTGTTTTTACTATGTTAATTGCAAGTACTTGGTTGGCGGAACTACTTAGGAGTTGTTTGTTTCAGCCTCTTAATGGTTCAGATGTCTGAATGGTTAAGGACTTAATGGTTCAGACTATTTGTTTCAGCCTCTTAATGGTTGAGATGTCTGAATGGTACAAACATTTGCCTCTGAATGGTTAAGTATTATACAGAGTCTGAATGGTTAAGACCTCTTATCTCAGAAATTTGCCTCTGAATAGTTAAGCAATATACTAGCTTCAACACTTAATGGTTCAGACCTCTTACTGGTTCAGCACTTACCTATTCAGAAGTTGCCAAACAGCCCCTTAGTGTCATTATCCCGTTGACAAGTCGAGTCGAGGCGGTGAAGAAGATAGTAGTCGATAAGTCGGCCAACTAGTGGTTGACTAGTCGACAAGTCATGATATGCAACTATGGAGTAATTTTTTTAAAATAAATATAAGTATATCCCTTATGATAACCATCTTTTTAAAAAAATGAAGTATCATTATCATAAAAAAATAGATAGAAGATAAATAAAAAATAACACAACAAAATAAAAAATAAAAATTGAAAATCACATAAAAAGCTTGCTATACATTAACAAACAGCAACAAAGCCTTATCCCACTAGGTGGGGTCGGCTACATGGATCAAATTAACCTCATTCTCAAATTCTACACATTAACCTAATTCTCAAATACTACATCAACTTGTATTCTCTAACCAAAAAAAATCACAGAAAAACTGCAAGATAAATAAAAAACAAAACTGAAATTCACAAAAAAAACTGGAAAGTATGCGAATGGAATTCCTGATGGAACTATCCAACCGACAAATAAAAAGCAATTGAAATTTAAATAAAAAGGATGACGAAGTGCAAATTGCAAAGGATAAGGAGGGGTACTGTTTTCTTTTTTAAATTAAATGAAATTTGGGTTGAATCTTACTGGGTTGGTTCAGATTGCTCAGGAAAAGGCACGGCTAATCATCGCCTATCTTGACTAGTCGTCGCTTTATCAAAGACCTGATGACAGCCTCCCTTCAGTTGCTAGTCGACGCACTAGTCGAGACCTATTTCCTGATTGGACGAGTAGTCAGCGACTACTCCAGGACATGATAACAATGCTTAGTGTCTACTTGAACAATGTAATTTTCGTTATGAATTTCTTTTTTTCCTGAACTCAATAGAATATACTCTTTCGTAGTTTGTAAATTGAGTTATGTTTTTTTCTTTATTTTTCAGATGCAATGTGGCATATTTTTATTTGGTTCTTGTTCTTTCTGAGTATACCTTAAGACATTAAGGCACTCATTTTTGTCTGGGATCGCCAATAGTTTTGTATGTTTGGTTTATTACTAATTCTTGTACACACGTAAGACTAGACCGTCCATCATCTTGGTATGTTACTGTTTCTAAAATCTCTATTCCATGTTCTGGAAGCCTGTGGTTGAAGCTTTTGATCCGAGGTCACTTGTAGCTCCTGCGATATCTCACGTGATAGACTTCTCTTCAATAAAGGTATTAAGATAGTTATGTAGTGTGCCCACATCTAGTCTCTGCACACTTTAAGTTGAATTCAATTTCTGCAATTCTTAAAAATTAGAACACCCATGGCTCCATGCTCCAACCTGCATAAGCCTTGTACGGGGTATGTTGTTGATCTTTATATTCTGTAATAATGGAGGGGAATTTTATGTGATTGTGTCAAAGGAGGAAGAACTATATGAAATTGATATCCCACTAAGATTCAAAGCATCTGTGAGCACTAGAATCCATGGACTAGCTTGTTGGTTTGATGTATTATTTAATGGCAGGTAAAAATTCTTCTCCCATTGTTATGTTATTTTGTTAGTCAGTTCTTTTGACAGGATGCTTTTGATGTACTATATGCTGTTTACAGCACTGTACAGAGGTGGTTGACCACTGCTCCTGGTGCACCTACAACCCACTGGTACCAGCTGCGTTGTGTTTTGTCTCAACCACTTTATGTCATGCCGGGACAAGATATAACAGGACAAGTTCGGCTTGTTGCCCATAAAGCCCAGAGTTACACCATTTTCCTGACATTATCCGGTATGCTCTAAGGTTTTATTGTCTGGTAAAATTTAATTAACAAGTCATAATTCTATTTTTAATAATAGCTGTTGTTGGAGATGTGCTTCAAACTTCATCTGGAAAACTTGATCTTAAGGAGCCATACTATCGGATGTCTCAGCCACAAACGTATTCTGTTGGTTCACAAGATCAACAACAACCTCATCAATTATTACAACAAACCCAGGTATTTTATTCTGTAAGAACACCCTACACCCTTAAAAGAAGTATAGTGATCTCTATCTTCTCCTATACATTCAAATAGTTTCTGAAGGAAATCATGGTTCATTTTTCTGTTATGTGTCGACAACCATGAGTCCGTTGGCCGAGTCCAAAGTCATGCAGCACACTTAGTGGGAAAGTGCAAGCCATGCAACATAATTTATTTTCTCAAAATTTGCAACTTATTCCTTTTGAATTGTTCTCTGTTAGTTGTTTGGTTGGGCTAAAATAAAGGAAATCATGGGGATGCCCATATTTCCACTAACGTTTATTTTCCT